CCCAGGGAATCTGCCCTTTTTAGCACAGAGCTGCACCACCCTGTCATTGTTTCAGGCTTAGGTGGAGCAAAGGAACTAAGGCAACCAAGAGATAAGGAGATTTTCTCCCAGACGCTGAGGACTCAGGCTATGTCAAAGCCAAGGAGCGAGGGTCCATCACCCCCTTTTGCTGTAGCCCCCAAAGTCCTTTTTTGGGGGCCTCCTACGTGATCGTGCCTGTCTTAGGTCGTTCCCCCCTTGGGGAATCTTACCCGTCATTGGCTAACTGACCAAGCTTCGGGGTTCAGTTATGAATGAAGCAGCAGAAGCAGTGCTCCTGCCAGGGAGATAAGCTTTTGTCTCCTTGCTGGCTTACGGTTCCAAGGGCATTCCCTTAGCCTTAGCCTAGGTGGGGGTTACAGCTTCTGATACCAGGCAGGGCGCTTCCTAACATCTTTTCCCTGGCAAGTCTGCTCTGAAATACACTTTGATTTAGTATTGCCACTCCAGCTTTCAGATGTGAGTAGTGTTAACATGGTATGTCCCCTTCCATCCTTTTACTTTTTTACGATTTGTGACTTTATATTTGTAAAAGTGCATTGGCAGCATTTACTTGGGTCTTGCTGTTTTCTCTCTCTCCACTCTGACAATCGCTGCCTTTAGTTGGGATATTAGACCATTTACATTTCATGTGATTATTAATATGGTTAAGTTTGGATCTGTCCTGCTATTTGTGTTTTCTTGTCTCAGCTGTTTATTTCCTATTTCCACTCACCTTTAGACTTATTTTATGACTCTGTTTTTCTATATTTTGGTATAGTCTTATCTTCAAATGATATTATATCACTTCACTGATAGTGAAAGAACCTTACAATAATATACTTTCATCTCCTGTTCAGGCCTTATATTACAGTTGTGAATTTTTCTTTTATATATAGGATGGGGCAAAAGTAGGCTTACAGTTGTGAGTATGTGAAACATAGAGTTTATTCTTGTATTATTATTTATTAATTATTTTATTTTCTGTACAAACAACTGTAAGCCTATTTTTGTCATACCCTGTATGTTGTGAACCCTGCAATAAATTTTTATTCTTGTTTAAAAGTTATCTTTTAAAGAGATTTAAACAATAAGAAAAAAAGCCTGTGTATTTACCCATGTAGGTACCCCTTCTAGGGCTCTTCACTATCTTGTTAGACAGTTTTTTGCAGCAAGATGGTAGTAAAATGAATAATCAGATTAAAAAAATTTTTCCCTCTAGAAGAGACTGTAAGAAGGGCGTTACTGTTTGAATATACTGCTTTGACAGGATGCCTGTTCCTGTGCCCATACAGAGTTTATAAACATATTCATGTTTGAGCCCTGGCTGGCGTAGCTCAGTGGATTGAGTGCGGGCTGCGAACCAAAGTGTTGCAGGTTCGATTCCCAGTCAGGGCACATGCCTGGGTTGCAGGCCATGACCCCCGGCAACCACACATTGATGTTTCTCTCTTTCTCTCTTTCTCCCTCCCTTCCTCTCTAAAAAATAAATAAATAAAATCTTTAAAAAAATTATAAAAAAATAAAAAAAAACATATTCATGTTTGATTGTTTATTTTTTTCCAAGCACAGGGAAATTGTGGGTTAGTGCCAGAAGTTATCCAAGGGAGGAAATTTAAAAAAAAATATGCTCAAATAATTTATGCTTTTATAACATGCTTTCTTGGCAAGTGGATTTCTGAGGCCAGCTTTTGACTTTCACCCTTCAGAGACCTAGGTTTTAGAAATACATAGTTGCTTCTCAGCCTTTTGGCTAAGATCAAGTGTAAAAATACAAGGATCACTGGTTTATTCTGAAGGTAAACAACCAGAAAGCTCAGTCAGTATATTTTCTCACAGATAACCATCTTTTGTCAAAAGCAAATAAATTACAAGGAATGAGCTGATAATGTGGATGTTTATTTTCTCCCTCCTTTTTTTTTTTTTGCCACATATGAATTAGGCAGATCATAAATAGAGATTCATTACAGTGTTCCACATCTTCTACAATGTCAGTTGTATGGTGAAATTGAAATTACTGCAAAATCTGTAAATGTTTCTAGTATTTATGCATATTCTTTTCCTTTATCCCTGTCTCCCTCTCCCCTTATCTGCCTGTCACCCTCCCCTCTCCCCCAGCCTTATCTCCCTCTCTCTCCCTCCCTCCCAGTCACCTGTCTCTTACTCTCCATATTGGTGAGTACTCCTTAGTCTCACTACTTAACTTTCTACTCCTTAAGCAGGCCATGTGCCTTCTTTGTACATGCTTATGTCTCTTTATGAAGCGTTCTTTCTTTTGTTTTGCCTAGCTAGCCCCCTCTTTATTCATAGAAGCTCAGTTTAGATGTCCAGTCATGTTGTACTCATTCCCTTATCTACCAAGGTATACGAGATATTCTCCCTCCGAGTGCTTGTAGCACCTGTACGAATGCCTATGGCAGCATTATCAGACCATATTGTAAAAGCCTGCATTTTTATATCTCAAGATTATCAGCTTCATAAGGGCAAAGACCATGCCAATCTTGTTTATTGCTGGATCTTCTGAGCCTTGTGTAGTGTCTGGCACAAAATAAATATTTAATAAATATTTGTTGGTTGGATGGAGAGATGGCTATCTAATTGGTTCATTGCATTTTTTACTAAGATATCATAAGCATTTCCCTAAACTGTTGAAAAAACTATAAAGATCATTTTAAATAGGAACATAGTAATTTGTCATATAGCATAATTCATATAACCATTTCCTAGTTATTTCACTTTCAGAGTATCTAATTTGTCACTGGTATAACAATGTGATGAACAGGTAGTTTCATTAAACTTTGCCTATGATTGTGTTGGGGAGGAAGAAACTCCCTCTACCCTCAAGATTCTTTCCACTGGTCTAATAATTAAATCTACATGAGGCAGATTAACAAGAGAAAATGACCAAACTTAATTATATGCATATGCACAGGAATCCCACATACATGAGAAAGCCATACCCCACATAAATGAGAAGTTCAAAGCCAGAAAGGGGAAAATAAGGTAGATGTGACACTCTGAGATAGGGAAGGAGATGTAAGGTGCCTGGGGCTTCAAAGGGGAGGAAGGTTACTAAGGACAATAAGAAGAGCAGGTGTTCAGTAATTAGTACAATAGTTTGACCTGCCAATAGCTCAAGAAAAGATTTCTGGTGATAACTCTTATTGTGGGCAAGGCCCTAATTTAAACTCTCTAAAGGACCTGGCTGGTGTAGCTCAGTGGATTGAGTGTGGGTCTGCGAACCAAAAAGTCACCGGTTCTATTCCCAGTCAGGGTACATTCCTGGGATGTGGGCCAGGTCTCCAAGTATGGGGCATGCAAGAGGCAACTACACGTTGATCTCTCTCTCCTTCTCTTTCTCCCTCCCTTCCCCTCTCTAAACAAACAAACAAAGAAAGAAATAAGATCTTTAAAAAATTCTTTAAGAGAGGTAAGTTTTTTCATGAGCCGATAGGGTTTTTATTGCCTTCAACCTAAAATAATTCACATGCCAAAGTAGCACATTTTGGGAAGACCTGTTCTGAACCCCTACCCTTGATTATGTCCATATAATGGTTTTCAAAGCATTTTAAAGGCTCTTAATAATTTGGTACATCGCTTTCCAAAAAGGTTGTACTGATTTGAACTTTCAACCATACTTTATGGGGGTGGCTGTCTTGCCATAGGCTCCCCAGAATGATTAGTTTCATTGTTAAACATCCTTACCAATTTGATTGGTTAAAATGGTATTGTTCTGTTTGATTTGATCAGAGTGAAGCTGAATATTTTCTCAAATATTTTGTGAACAATGTGTATTCTTTTGTGAAGAAGGCTGGCAGTATTTCCCAATTGGTGTCATAAGACAAGTTCGGATACTTTTTTTGTTTTACATATTTATTGACTGTTTAAGATTTTTATTTGGCAGATTTCTAGTAAAACTGCCCCAAAGTTTGGATATATTAGTAAAGTCATTCATTTTTATCTTCCTAATTAATATTCAAAATGTTCACAATTTAAAAAATTATTACAGGGTGTGGAATTCCCTATTTTGAAAGTGTTCAAGATACATATTCTGTGAATATATAGACACTGTTTGGAAATGAGAAGTGGTATTTAAATTCTTTGAAGTTGGGGCTTATGGGACACTGTCCCAGATACTCAGGAGTCAGAAGTTGAGATGGGAGTGTGGGTGGAAGAACCGACACTGTCAGCAGACCAGTGAAGCTCTGCCTCCAGGAGGAGGAGACCAGTCTATCCTGATCGAACACTCTTATCTCAGCTGTCCTCCAATAGCTGCTCTGGTAGAAAGATAAACAAATGTAAATCAGGAGACTTGGGTTCTAATCTCATCTCTGGAATTAGCCTTGCCTTGTGCCTGGTCACAAATTACTTAATCTTCCAGTTTCTCAGTGCTTATATAATTAAGACCCTCTCGGCTTTAAGAATCTTTGATTTTATTATCCAGGGGACAAAAACTGTTCTTGTGAATACAGAGCTATTCTTGTGAATAGCTATGTATAGGTTTGAAAAACAATTAATTCTTGTGAACTATCTGGAGAAAATAATAGTAAAATTCCCCATACCAGCTACATTTTTTAGGGAACATGAACTCCCAAATCCTAGGTTTTCTTTTGATACATAAAAATGGTAAAATTAGTTAAATTATTTTTATGCCATTTTTCCTGGGCCAGGGAACTTTATATTCAGGTTTTTTTCTTTCAAACTGGCCAGAAAAGGACAGGTTGGATAAATTTAAACAGTGCAGAGAATTTCTTAAGCTTGCATTTGTCTAAATATAGAGATTACTTAAGAAAACTAGGTGCAAAACCATCAGTGCTTTTAAGAGAAGTCATTTAAGCAAACGTTGTCGTAGCTTAATTAAATGCTTTAATTAAAAGTCACAACTGAACATACGGTAGCTCTTGTCTGGCTTAAGAAAGCTAGCTGTTGGTGCAGCTTTTCTGAAGCAACCGGCTCTGCCTGCTCTGTGTTTGATTTGTTAGGTCTGGCTCAGTGCGCGGAGCTCTGCTGGCAGCTGAGAGGGGAAGCCGGAAGAAGACAAGTTCCTGGTGCAAAGGTTGCCCTGCAGCACAATTTGGGTATTGGAGGAGCTGTAGTTATCACAATCTACAGGATGGGTTTTCCCGAAGCTGCCAGGTTAGTGTCATTCAGGGTTTTGTGACTTTTCACAGCTGATGACATTTTACATGTAAAAACTCCTAATTTTATTGTCTTAGTACTCAAAAAGTAAGTATCTCATCACATTGCCAATAGCATGGCTTGAAAACTTTAAAGCTGGCCATTATCTTTAAATTTAACCAGCCTGAGGAAAATTTTGAAGCCAGGAAAGCTGGCTTTAGTGCGGGCTGTCACCCACCAGACCCAATAAGCAGAGAGACCGATTGAATCTTTTGGAGCTTTATTCACATAGTCCGCGACTTGAGAAGACCTGAGAAGACGGCAGGTTTGTACACTAACAGACCATCTTAAATTCCATTTTAAACCGACACTTTTTATAAGAAGAAAACTGCAGGTAAGGGGTTTAGAATCCAGGGAGAAAGTTAATCAGATAAAAGCTGCAGCATTCTTGCATCTGTGTCTTTGTCAGCCCGCGTCTCACCCTGGAGCCCAGTGGCTCCGATACCACCTTGAGTTGCTTGCAGTCCTCCTGAGGCGCAAAGGTGGAACTGCTTCTGGTCTCCTGGAGTCAGGGTGGGTCACACCTTCAGTTCCTGAAACAGTAGCTTTTTTACATACATTGATTACTATGCTCACTAGTTACTACCTGTAACAAAATTTTTTCAACATTTGAGTCCCCCATCGATTTCATTGTAAAAGGAGCAGCACAGTCATAAAAGAGTGCTGCTGAAGGAGAAAGCCAGAGCTGGCAGGGCACTTATGAGTGATTTTAATTTAGGTGGGTCGCTTTTTGGTTTCCTTTCCCACAATTTGCCTTTTCCCCATAGCTTAGGACGTTGTTTGGACCTCTGCCAAGTTTATTTCTTAATCAAGCTCTCACTGCTGCTAGAATCTTTTTAATTGCCTCTTGTTGATTTTCTTCTTGTCCTTGTTAAAGAAATACTTGTGTTCCTCTAAGCACCTTTCTCCCCAAGCCTTTCAAGATTTCCTCCTAACTTGCTTTTCTCTTTGAGAGCTACTCCCCATTTCTAGAGGAAAAAGTCCCTCTTCTTTTTCAAGGCCCAGCTTTCCTCTTTGCGTGCTTTTCTTTTCAACAACTTTCTGTAACTTCATTGCAAAAACTATACCCTCTCCCTTTTGAATCTTTCCACCTTTGTCTTTACATTGACTCCTTTTCCCTCTTTGAGCAAACACATTCAGGTCTTTTGTATTCCAAAAAAGTCTGTTTTTCCCCCTGCCTTAATTATTCTTTTTCATGATGAGCCTTTTCTATTGCGCCACCTTTGTTTTTCCATGCTGAAATATCTTACAGTAGTTTCTGATCTCATCACTGAGGTCAGGTAAGGCCACCAGTGATCTGATAATGAAATGGTGACAGGTCCCTGTCTTTATTTTTCATATTTATTCTCATTAACCCTACTGTAGCTTTCAACACTAATTGGCTCCTTTTTATTTTCCTGAAATTCTTGGGGATTATTTCTTCATACTTTGGTTCCACAAGAATATGCAACACACTTCATTATTCTGATGTTTTGCAAGTTCTTGAGTGTATTCTCTCTGTCCTTGCACTCTTCGTTCTCTGCCTAGACTACCATTTCTGTTGTGGAAATTCTTTCTTTTAAGGCCCAGTACAGGTACCATCTCCTTTAAATATCCACAGCGCTCTGCCTCTTGGGTCCCTATCCAGGTTTGGTTTAGTTGAAGCTTATCCATTTGTTTTTAATCCCGTTTGTTACATGAGATCTTTGAGGCTTAAGACTGTGACTGACTTCTCCCACCCTTCTGAGGCTCTTTCTCTTAGTGGCTAAATGTTTACTGAATTAAATCAAATAAAAAGATGTTAAGAGGTTGAATTTTAAGTTTCTCCCTAAATCTGATTCATTGATTCTTCACTGTTTTTTGGAATTCTGTCTACTTCATATTTGTAGTTGAAAACCCTCAGTGAAAGCCAAAGTATAAAGAGCTACCAGAGTCAGAATATTAGTGCAGCTATCGAATTAGCTTAAAACAGAAGGTAATGCATTTTGGGCAATAAATTATATTTTAAACATAGAATTCTCATAGTTCTTTTATTTTTCAGGAAACAAAATAATTGAGATACAGAATTGTTCACAGTAACCAAGGTTGATATTTCTGGGAAGGCAGAAATACCCCCCTCCCCCCCAAGATAATATATTAATGACAAAAATTGGTTTGAAATATTTAAAAATATTGATAGTTTAAAAAAAAATTTTCCCAAGGTGATCACTGATTTTTTTTATTGTACATTTTTTGTATACTTTATTGATTATGCTGTTACAGTTGTCCCAATTTTTATTCCCTTTGCCCCCCTCTGACTGGTATCCCCCTTTAGTCTAGCAGTCCCCCCTTAGTTTATGTCCATGGGTTGTGCATGTAAGTTCTTTGGCTTCTACATTTCCTATGCTGTTCCTAACATCTGTCTATTTTGTTCCTAACAAATTACACTTCTTAATCCCTGCACTAGTTCCTCCTTTTTCCCCCCATCTCCCCCTCCCAGCTGATAACCCTCCAAATGATCCCTATACCTATGATTCTGTTCCTGTTGTGGTTGTTTGCTTCGTTTGTTTTTGTTTTTATTTTTTAGATTCAGCTGTTGGTAGTTGTGAGCTTGTTGTCATTTTAATGTTCATGGTTTTGATGATCTTTTTCTTAAATAAGTCCCTTTAACATTTCGTGTAATAATGGCTTGGTGATGATGAATTCCTGTAGGTTTACCCTCTCTGGGAAGCACTATATGCCCTTCCATTCTAAATGCCATCTTTGCTGGATAGAGTAATCTAGGTTGTAAATCCTTATTTTTCATCACTTTGAATACTTCTTGCCAGCCCCTTCTTGCCTGTAAGGTTCTTTTGAGAACTCACCTGACAGTCTTATGGGAACTCCTATCTAAGTAACTCTCTGCTTTTCTCTTGCTGTTTGTAAGATTCTCTCTTTATCTTTAATCCTTGGCATTTCAATTATAATGTGTCGGTATGGTCCTCTTTGTGTCCAATTTGATTGGGACTCTCTGTGCTTCCTAGATTTGCACGTCTATTTCTTTCGCCTAATTAGGGAAGTTTTCTTTCATTATTTTTTCAAATAGATTTCCAATTTCTTTCTCTTTCTGGCACTCCTATGATACGAATGTTGGATCTCTTGAAGTTGTCCCAGAGGTTGCTTGTACTATCCTTGTTTTTTTGGATTCTTTTTTCTTCTTATTGTTTTGATTGGTTGTTTTTTGCTTCCTTATGTTCCAAATCATTGGTTTGATTCTCAGCTTCATCCACTCGACTGTTGTTTCCCTTTAAAATGTTCTTTATTTCAATTAGTGGATCCTTCATTTCGAACTGGGACTTTTTTGTGCTGCTGAGGTCCTCACTAAGTTCCTTGAGCATCCTTATTAACAGTGCTTTGAACTCTGCATCTGATAGATTGCTTATCTCCATTTCATTTAGCTCTTTTTCTGGAGGTTTGATCTGTTCTTTCATTTGGGCCCTATTTCTTTGTGTTCTCATGTTGTCAGCCTCCCTGTGTTTGTTTCTATGTATTAGGTAGAGCTGCTTTGACTCTGTGCCTTAGTAGCGTGGCCTAATATGGTAGGTGTCCTGTAGGGTCCAGTGGCACAACCTCTTCTATCATGAAGCCAGGTATTCAAGGTGTACCCTTCTAGTGGGCTGAGTATACCTTCCTCTTATAGTTGAGCCTTTGTTGTTGTTGGCAGATCAATGGGAGGGATTTACCAAAGGTTAGTCAGCTGTAAGGACTGGCTGGCGGTGACTACTGCTCTACCATCCTTTGCCCTCTGTGGAGGATCAGCAGTGCTGAGTCAGGGTGGTGGTGCTCAGAAGTGGTCTGTAGCTGTCCACTGGGTGTTCTGGCCCTGGGGTTTCCTGGGTGGTGCAGGCCAAGGTCATCCCCCACCTGTGTTTTGTCCATGGCACCCTTCCTGAGCTATAAAGCAATCTGAGAAGGTTGCTACTTGTGCTGGGTTTGGAGATTCCCAGGCAAAGCCAAGCTGTAAAACTAATCTGGCTGCTGCTAGTGCCTGTCCTGGGGCTCACTGAAGCCAGTTGTTGCTTGTTTGATAGGATTTAGGAAGGTGTGAAGACTGTGAGGCAAGACCCACTATTCATATGGAAAAGCAGTTTAGGTCGCCCCATAAGTTGGGTGAGGTGGAGTCTCTGGGGATGTCCCAGGTGGGTCAAACTGTGTTAGCCAGGTTGATGGAGCCTCAAATATGGCACCAGCCTGCCAGCTCTGTGGCTTGTGTGTGCGGGGGGGCTGCTCAGAGAAGGGACAATCTTCTCTGCTCACCACTTCCATCTTTCCCAGTATGCCACTGGTGCCCTTTAAGGTGCCACCCCGAGCTAGAGATCAGAGGGGGAGCAAATCCAAGTAGGTGAGTCTGTGTGTGTGGGAGCTCTGGTTTTTGCAATCAGAGGTTGTGGGGATTTATCTTCCTGGCACTGAAACCCTGGGCCTGGTGTGTGGGCCTGGGACTCATCAACTCCAAGATACCCTTCCTGAATTTTTGTCTACCACATGTCAATGTGAGACCAGCGTGTCTGTGTCTCCAGCCCTCCAGCAGTCTGGATGGATCTATTTGTCTGGATGGATGTGGTTTCTTTAATTCCGTAGTTGTCAGACTTCCATTCAGCTTGATTTCTGACAGTTGAGTGATGGTTGTTCTGTATTTTAGTTGTAATTTTGATGTGGTTGAGCGAAGAGGTGAGTCATATCTGCCTGTGCCACCATCCTGACGAAACCAGGACATTGATAGTTTTAGTGATAAAAAACTCACTCCAGAGGCCAAAATTGGGAAAACAGTTCTAATTCTGATGGTGCAAATACAGTTTTAAGATGAGGTTGTGCCTTGGTTTTAAACGAAATAATTTTAAGGTACGCATTGCACATGGTTCGATTTGCTTAGTTCCTCATTTAGCTAACTTTTAAAATATATATATATATTTTAAAGAATTCATTTATTTTTAGACAGAGTGGAAGGGAGGGAGAAAGAG